CATGTGACCGTGGTGCAAGGGAAGAAAGCTTATCATCAGGTGACAGAAGAATGCCCTTATTGTTAGCTCCAATACTTACAAATAAACCTTCCCAGGGTGTCACGCACCGGTATAAGTACACCACCCCTGTGGCACTGAGCTAATATGTTAACAGAGGAAGGGCTGTACCTGAACTGCTCCCTCCAGGACACAAGCACCTCAGGATTTGGCGTGGATTAGCTGTATGAACTGTGGCCCACAAAGCAAAGTATCCCAATTAATAAAATGTTTGCTAATATGCTCAGAGGAGGATCCATAACTCTTCCTGTGTCCCAGTCTTCCCTTCGGCTGCAGTTCCCAGTTCTACTCTCAGCTCCTAAGAGTCCTCAGCCCCAGCAGGGCTTGGCTGTGCTAAGTGCTGTGCAAACACTGAGGCACAAAATGGATTCTGCTCTGAAAAGATGGGCTCACTTCCCTGACAGACACTGCAATAAGCTCAAGGAATAACTTCAGCTTTATTGCAGCACAAGTTAACAGAATTAGATCCCCCAAGCCTAAATTTGCATGGAAAAAAATAGAAGTATTTGTTAGATCATGACTTCTCATCCCAGGACACAGGGGGGAGACTTTTCATCAAGCCATCTCCTGCATGTCAGGAAATAACCTGAAATTTTACTCCTTACTGTACTTTAGCAAGCCAGCCGCTCCACGGATCAATACATCCTGCAGTGAAATAAGATATTATCTGCACTGTAGTCCACAGAAAGCCAGCACAAAGCAAATAAGGAACTGGGGAGTGGCACAGGGGATCTTTACACCTGGTGGGAGGTGCAAGAACATGACAGCACGGGCAGCCCATGCAGGAAGGGGTGGTGTGTTCTGCAAGCAGGGAGAAGGATGGGATAAAGAAAGGTGCCCTGCCTGAGATGGAGCAAGGGTGGCTGGGCTTTTGTACTCCAAGGGATAGTAGCTTTCCAAGAATTTGTATAATTTTGCTGGCTTCTGCATCATCTGGTGCAGAATATCTGGTGTTAGTTATTTCTCATAACTACATTAGACAGAGAAGACACACAGCATCCAGGGTTCAGACATGAGCTCTGAGGCAGTGTATTGTGGTAGCTGTGTGATTTGAATCACCAATACAGGTATGTCCCTGATGCATTTCAAATTGAAGTGTGTGCAAATCACTTACCGGGGCAGTTGACCCGTTCACAACCAAAGTTGTAAGGGAGTTAATATGTAATAATTTGTAAAACAAGGTGCTTTTTTGAGACATTAATTGTTTTGCTGAGCACTGAAAATATGATCTCTGATTCCTTCAGGAAACTCACCGCTTTCAATAGCTCATTTTTCACAGCAAGCACAAGTTTGGCATATAATTATTAACAAAAAAACAGCAACCTGCCCAAAACTTAACAGACAATGAACTATGCTTCAAATGCCTTTTCATGGTGTGCCCTTTTTAGTTAATAGCATCTATCCCCATGACACACTGTATGCTAATCTGCCCTGATCTTGCAAACATTTGTGTGCCAATAACTGCACCAAGCAAACCCCTTTTATCAAAATACACAGGTACTCACAGAATGGAAGCTTTGGGTTAATTCAAAGACTGATCCCAACATTCATACAATACATAAATATTAATATAGTTACTTTTAAAGCTGCTACTGATGGATTTTCACTTTAGAAAAGATAACTCATACCAGCTAACCAGCTATAGATAATACATTTGAAAGTAGAGATGCTAAATATCACTTTTTGTTTTGCAACTTCATTCCTCTTGAAAGAACATACTTGCTGAATTTTCTAGTGAATGTAGAGCAGAGCAATGAATAGAAATGTCACAGGAGCTCTGCCTTAGCTCTTATAATGATCCTTGATATTATTTCTGCATCTCCACCACCGAGGCTAGTGAATATACCTTCCTTAACCCCATTCTTCCCTCTTCAGAAGAGCAATGTCCAGTTGATGGAAGAAATATATATGGCCTGATCAAGGTATTCCTGACTCTTCCAAGTATGCAAGTTTAATCTGAGCTCTAAATGACTGCATGGTTTTATCATGAACCTGGCATTTGATGGCAATCACTTTATTTCCCCCTATCTAAAATGGGGCTGGCAGGCATTTGGTTATCTCACAGGATGAGCTGAAGTACAAGCACGAATGCTTGCCAAGCTCCTTGAGAATATAATAGTTACTTTGCATCTTATTTCCTTTTTAAAAGAGTAAAGTCAGGAAATGTTGCACGGCCATTCACACCAGATAAGCTATTGAATGGATGCACCATCTATAGTCATTAACCATGAAAATGCTTTCTTGTGTCTTAACCAATCCTTAATTTTAAAGTGAAAAACACTTGCAGAAGTTTCCACCTTTGGCAATGCTATTGTGCACTGTTGTTTGTAGAATGACAGAACAAATCACCTCGATTACCCTGGAGATCTAGAGTGAGAAAGTCTCCTTCTCACTCTTCATAGAAAACATTGGTCTACTGTATAAAACAAAACTTAAAAAGAAATCCAAGCGCAGAAATTGAATTCTTAGAAGTTTTTATGTGTGACTGCTTGCTTTCTTGGGCTTTTTGTTTTGTTTTCTTCACAGGCTTTTATTTGGGAGCCTCTATTTCCACCACACCGAGCTGCATTTTGAGCATATACTCCAGAGCTGCTGGGAATGGCTGTGGAGGAACAGCCCGGTTCCTTCTCAGGGGAACCCTCAGAGTCTGCAGGGCCTGGAAGGGACCGGGAGGTGCCTCACGCCTGCCCTTCACCCTGCACAAATGAACTGCGATGCTGATGCAAAGGCACCGTGGCCCCTGAGCTCTGCCTAGGCTGCCAGCCACCGGCACAGAGCAGGGTCCTGCAGCCCCTGTGGAAACCCGCCCCACTCATGGGAGATTTCCTTCTGCAGCGCTTGCTGCTGTTGCATCCCTGTGTCTTACACACCCTTGTCTGCGCTAATACCTACCCCAGGTCTGCAGATTGTGTGTTAGAGAACATATTAACAGGAGCCAATAGAAGGGAGAGGCAACTAAACACAGAGCTTTTCCCACAATTCCTGTTGGAAGCAAGTGCAAGTTCCCATTTGTATCTTTTACAAAGCGTTTACCACTCTAGGGTGATCAGAAAGTCCCGACTGGGTAACACACACCAGAAATGCTGTCACCAACAGAGCTGCTGGTTTTCTTAACAAGAATGGAAAACTCAAAAGCTTTGTGCCAACAAAACCACTTCCTTGCTGTAAGCTGCTTTGCATCCCAGTGCTAGGAGAAAAGTGCAGAACACAAAGGTGTCCAGCCACAGCACAGCGTCAGTGTTGGCAGGCAGCACATTAGGTCCGGGATCCGTGATCCTTATCAGATGCAGGCACATCTTCCTCAAAAAAATTTGATCCAGGTCAGGCCTGGGCACATAACTGCAATTCTATGGCAACTGCAAATATACTTTATAGGAATTTCTACTGCCTTTGTATTTTCACTCTGAGGACAGGCAACTTCTAATCCAACGCAAAGCCTGCAGGTACATTTTTAACCCAACACTGTTTTTCTCAAACAAACGGAGGCAAACAGAGTGAGCTGATACCAGCCCGTGCTTTGCAATAGGCGGCCGTGGCAGTCCCAGCATGTGGCAGGAGCTGTAAAGCTGGATTTACTGTCTCCTTGGACTGCTGCCATAAACATAACCTCAGCTCTGCCATGACTTGCTGCCCTTCCCCACCTCCTCGCCTTCAGATTTTAAACAGGAGACATACATGGCTTGAACGCGGCTGACACAGGACAGAAAGATTTCACACCTTTTTGCTGGACACTTCTCTGATAACCTTGACCTCACCTGGCCAACCCCCCATTTAGGAGTTAAAATCTGCTGTCTTGATGGGATTTGTGCCATGAGTTTGCCACAGCCATCCGTGCCCTGAAACACCCTTGCCAGATTCCTGAATCGTGGGCCTGACCTATCTGAGTATTTTTCACCTTCTCATTGATTAACTGTCATGAGGAGGGAAGAGCACAATTGATGAACCTCTCTGTTTCAGCATATGCAGTCCCCATAGAAAACCTATTATTTTCAGGCTTATTATTTTATTTTCTGCTTTTATTGTCTCTCTGAAGCAATGCTACTTCCTAATTAAGTGCATCAAAACCACAATACAGCAATCCAAAGTATTTTTCTATTTTATTTCCTCATAAAGGATTATGGTTGCAAGAATGACTGCCACTAAGCAGTTATAGCACTATTAGTAATACACACTTATAGTATAATAATACTCAAACCCTGTTGTTCAAGACCCTGGAAACCCACAGAAATTCATCAGTTCGTGTTCCAGAGCACTCCCAGAAACTGCTATTCACATTCTTCATGCTTTTCCTCAATTTGTGGCATCACATTTAATTTTTGATTGACAAACCCAGTACTGACATACTTTACTACAATTTGTGTTCCATATGCAATTTGGTTATTTGAAAAGCAGCTCTCTCCATAATCACAGAATGGTATAATTTTCATCAGTATATCCATCTGAACATGTATTTGGACATACTTTAGTTCAGGCTTGTACAATCTACGCAACAGTTTATAGACCACAATATTTTTAATTGAGAAAAAAATAAAAAGTCCTTGATGTTTCTAATGACTTGGCACATACCCTGCTTAATGCGACAGCCAAAGACAGATAGGATGGAGCCATCCTATTTTCACATTACTGTTTGTGTTGCAAATACATTCTGGTGAATGAGAAAGGTTTTGGTTGCATACAAGTTTTGCAGGCACTCACCAAAACCTTCAATTATATTTTGTGTCCCGTCTACAAAACACCATTTAGAAAAATTAGGGGAAACATGTCACAGCCTGGAGGTGGGGGGCAAGGCTGAGAGGGGTCATTGCTCATTCCCATGTGGGTGTGTGGGGGCAGAGCCTGCCATTCCCTTCTTTATCTGAAGGCTGCAGCCTGGAGGGCACGGAGACACCAGCCCAGCTCAGAGCATCCCTGGCAGCAGAGCACCGAACAAGCTTCCCCAGTACCTTGCAATTTCTGGCTGTACTCTGTCCTGTCGGACTGACTCCTCCTCAAGTTGCCGTGGTCCCCGGCGGTGGTGCTGCTCTCCACCACGGGCTCCGTCCTCCTCCTCTGCCCCAGGTACAGCTTGTTCCTTAGCAGGGTCAAATTCCTCAGCCTTCCCCCGGTGCCTTCCTTCCCCGGACAGTCCATGCTCGCCCCGGACAGCCTTGCGTGCTGCTGCTGCTGCTGGTGGAGGGGGACAATAGCTCGATATCCAGAGAGGTGACCCCCTTGCCCAGGTGAAGGCCGGCTGCTTTGGGCTTGGGTTTGCAGCAGGGCTCG